CAGTCAGTGAAATGAATTTTCAGTCACAGCACTCAATTTTTCTAAAATTACTTAATTCATGCATTCATGTATTGAGCATCTACCTTGCGTCTGGTCATTCATAGACATTGTGAAGGCAGTGATGAATTAAACAGAAAAAGGATCTTGCCCTCTTGGAACTTATGATCTAACAGGAGAGACAGAAAATAAAGAAACAAATACATAAGTTAATGCCAGGAAGAGTTAAGTGGTATGAAAAACAAAGGCATATACCCATGCAGAAAGTGATGGGTGCCATTTTGGGTAGGTGGTGAGGAAGGCCTCTGAGTTGAGGTAATTTTTACTCAGAAACCTAGAATAGGAAAGTAAGCCATGTAGATACCAAGCCCGTGCAAAGGCCCTAAAGAAGAAACAATTTTGAGAGTCTGGAGGAGTAGCAAAAATTAGGAGTTAGATTTTGGCCAGGGTGTGTTTTAAATACTTATTAGATACCAAGTGGGAACAAACAGTAAGAAGTTGTATATGTGAGTTTGGAGTTGTGGGAGAAGATCAGACCTGGGGATGTAAATTCGGAAGCCCTCTGCATAGATATGTATTTAAAAGTATAGGCTTGCACAAGATCTCCCAGGAACTGAATGTAGATAGGGGAACCATGGGCACTGCAACATCAGGAGGTTGAGACAAACAGGAAACTCATTAGAGGAAGATAAGAAGGCACAGTCAGTGATGTATGAGAGAAGAGTGGTTGCTTAACAGCCAAGTAAGAAAAGTGACCCACAAAGTGACTGACCACTGGATGCTGCTTACAGATCACACATGAGAGAAGAGATTGACCCTGGGACTCAGCATCAGAGACTTTGGAAAGGGTGCCCAAGGTCAATGCCTGACTCAAGGAGATTCAATGGAGAAGAACAGGTGAGAAAGTAAGGATAATTTTTGAAAAATTTTGATACAAAGGGGAGAAGATAAATGAAGTAATAGCTGGAGGGAGATATAGGGTCAAGGGAAGTTTTCCTTTTTTTATTTCTTTCTTTGTATTTTTCTTTCTTTTGTTAGTGGGAGGTAGTTCAACATGTTTATGAACAGATGGGAATGATCCCATAGAGAGGAAAAAATAGATGATGTAGGAGAGAGGGGATAATTAAAGAAGTAGAGTCCTTGAATAGAAGAGAAGGGATGGCATCTAGTCTATGAGTGGAGGGAGGGATGACATAGCCACAGACCTGGGAGGGAAAACAGCATTTACAGTAGGTAGAGATGGCGAGGTGGATTTCATGTTGGGATGGAGGTGACTGAAAGTTGAAGAGGTTTTCTTCTCTCTGCTTCCATTTTTTCAGTGTAATGAGAAGCAAAGGCATCAGATGAGAGTGAAGGATATTAGAGGTTCGAGTGAAGATAGAAAAGATTCGCAGACTCATCTCAGAGACCAGGAGTGTGAATGAACTAGAGAATTATAACAGGATGGCCAGGCAGTCCCAAAGTCCCCTTTGAAGTTTGTGATCCTACATTTAAAGTAACAGCTGCCAGCATGGCTGTGTGTCTTTCTTCATCTATAACATTTGTCATAAAGTTTAGTTCCCAGGAATTTACCAGCTAACAAAAATTCGGCTTTTCAAATGAACACATTTCATTTTTGTGAGCAGCACATGCACACACAATTCAATAAAAAGAGATAACTAATTTAATCTGCTCTTGAAACATTAATTGTGAGAATCTAGAAATAAATGACCAGATCACCATTTTGGCTCAAGAACATCTTACTACATAAGTAGGCCAAAGAGAAAAAACCTATGACTCTTCACAACGTGACGGATTTCCATCGTTTTCTCTATTTGGTCATACAATACAACCAAGTGTTGAGGGAAATGTGTCAAGTTTGTCGGGACTCTCTCCTAGGCCATGGGTCTAGATACTGTTTCATAAGCTTTTTAGTATATCATATGAAAGCATAATAAAAGGGCTACTAAGTGCTGAGTGCATGAGCAAAAGAACCATGAATCTGTTTTAAACTGACATTGTTCTGGAACAGTGGCCACTTGGCTACTGTGGGTTGATGCTGGAGCTAAATCACAATCAACTGAGAAACAAAAATTTCAATCAAACAGTTGTTTGTTCTCATGATAGTTTAACTTATTTTTTCCCATCCATAGATTTGATTTTTATTCTTACACATTTGTGTATAATGTCAATCTGTGTATAATATCAAAACTGGACTGGTTAAAGCTAGTCCCATCTCATCTATATACCCTCCCTTGCTATGATTTCCTCCCCAATGGATCCTTTGTGTTTCCACTTTTTTGGGAGGAAGAGGGGACAGACCTTAATGGATTTGGTGCTGCTTTGGTTTGGGATATAGTCTTCGATCCTTTTAGAAGAAAGTCTTTTTAAATTTTATTTTTAAATTTACTTTTCATGCCTTTAAAATTTTTTGTTACAATGTATCCAGTTAATTAATGCTAAAATCCAATAGGGCTATTTTCAATCAATCTATCATAACATAAAAACTAGAGAAGTTCACTTATTGAAAGTGTAAAGAGAGAGAGAGATGGATTCAAGTGTGACTGATGGATTCAAGTGTGCTAATGGGTTTTTCAGTATAGAAATTAAGTATTTGTAAAGCTGTGTTTGGGTGTATACTCGGGCATGCATTACTGTATTGTTTAATAAAAAATAGTCAATGTACATTCTTAAAAGTATTCACATATATGATATATAGCATATTATGATTTATGATATAAACAAAACTCTAATTTAATGTATATTTCGTGGTTGTCATTGTAAATTCAATTGTAATATTTGAATGAGAGATGTGTTTACATTTAATTTATAGTAAAGTTGCTCTTTATCAGATACCTACAGTAAATCGTTGATTTTTATTGACTATCATAACAGATAAACAAGAGAGAGCTTAGAAAACTTGTTTGTATGCTTATTAACAAATATTTACAAAGGAAACACTCTTGAAAGTATCAAATGCACTATCTTATTTTTTGATTATTTTCAATGATAGCTGCTGGATGTTTACTTAGTTTCTCCAGAAGCCTGTATAAAGGAAATCCACAATCCTGAAAGAACATTATGTTGAAAAGACAGAACATCTTTGTTTTTAGACTCATATGCAGTGTTGGCCATGAAGAAAGAAAGTAGTTGTCTTTAGCTCAGCATCCTCTGAACTGAAAACTAAAATGATAATGATGATAATAATGGCAATACTGGTAACAATACCCTTATATCAACCTTCAGAGATCATCAGATTAAAGTAACTGTGCAAAAACAAACAGAAAAGACATATAGTCATGTCATACAACTGAAACCACTCAGGTCATGGAGCACTAAGGAAATAATTCATATTTAACTGTGTTCATATCATAATCATTTAAATTATATGACTGTCAAAGGACTTACATTCATGCAGGAGTTTTGAAAATTGATTCTAACAATTTTATTTCTAGTAGATCAAATTGTCAAGAGGGTCAATAAAGCATAAGGTAAACCTGCCATTTTAGTTTGGCCAAAGAGATCACAGAAAAATAAATCTGGAAAGAATCTTAAGGGAGATCTTGTTCAACTCTCTCTTCTATGTTTGCAGAATAAAAAACAGGACAAGAGAAGATAATTGATTTGTCCATGGATTTATGATGAATATTTAGCTCCAAAGATCACTAAAATCTGTTTCTAAAATAAAATTTGTAATGCTAAACATAAAGGACTTGGGAGAATCCTATATTGTTTGAGGTAATTAATATCATCATTTCCATGTCATTAGAGTAGACTCTGACATTCAAAATTCCATTGAAACGAATGGGCTGGCTTTATTTCTTTTTAGTGTTTGATGAATTTTCTTCCTACAATTTCTCATGAAATGTAATAATTTATTACTGTTTAAATCCCATCCATGTTCGTATTTGATTTTTCCCTCTCTGTTGTAGTTCTCTTTACTTGACTCCCAGAGGCAATTCTGAAATTTCTACCCACGTATGTCACGTGATTTGAATGGCTAACTGTTCTCTCTGGAAGCACAACCATTATGCTACCACCTAATTGTGTTAAGAAAAAATTAATGTCAGGTGACAAATCTATCAGTAATAAGCTCACTGAAAATCAATATTTTCACGTTAGAATCTGATTTACAGGGTCTGTCTGTGGGTTTAGCGTTTCATAGTATAATAACGCAACGACAAACCAGGGGCAAGAGAGAGTTAACGATGGGATGTGCTCTCAATTCTCTTCCTCTTAAAGAAAGTATTCAACGGGGCCGGCCCCGTGGCCGAGTGGTTAAGTCTGTGTGCTCTGCTTTGGCGGCCCAGGGTTTGGATCCTGAGCTCAGACATGGCACGGCTCGTTAGGCCATGTTGAGGTGGCATCCCGCATGCCACAACTAGAAGGACCCACAGCTAAGATATACAACTATGTACTGGGGGATTTGGGGAGAAAAAGCAGGAAAAAAAAAGAAGATTGGCAACAGTTGTTAGCTCAGGTGCCAATCTTTAAAAAAAAAAAGAATATTCAAATGAGCAGGTCTAAGAGCTCCATTTGTGTAATACTGAAATTTTGATATTAAAACAAACAGACAACTTAACTCTTACAGAATAGGATTAAATTAGGTTTATAGGCACATCTAACGGGGCTCAAGGAGAAAAGACCAAACTTCTAGTAATTCTTAGAAATTTCTAGCAGGAACAAATCTTTGATGATTTTCTACTTTGGTTTCTAGAGGAAATTTACCAGGATTTGCCCTCTATGGGCACCGTGGTAAAGACTGCACACTGAATTATGGTGAAAATGTGCTTTCTACTTTTTGTTTTTTCTAATTAAACCCAGTGAGGGAATTTCCCTTAGCCTCTTCCACCAGTGAACTTATGTTGATTTAGAACTATTTCTGCATTCACTCATTTAACAGCTGAAGAACAAGCTATTATATGAATGATTTAGTTGTGTTTCTAGACAGATAAAATATTTTTTTCCTCTAATGAATAGAGAAACAAGATTGCAAAGTCTACGTGCACTGGAAGAGCACTTACCCAGTGTTCTTTGTAGCCACCTCAGCAAATGAAAGATCATAATTGCATCTTGGCCTTAATAAAGAAGACAAACTTTTAATAAAAAAGGAATATCTTCTTTGTAGTCTTAAAATTATATAGTGTATTAGGTTTTGTTCTTTATATTATGAAATAGATATTTAGAGAAAAATAAGAAAATGCCAAAAAACAAACATAAGAAAATAAAAATAAATTATAATCACACTAACTAGGTCATTGTTTTTAAGTTATATATTATATTATATATATATGAGGTTATATAATATATATATGATACTAGAGCTGAGACATGAGAGCCAGATCCATCAAAAATGCCATCGGGCCACCACCATACCTTCTGTGGAGTACCTACCTCCAGATGTTTCTACACAAGATACAGACACACACACACACACACACACACACACATACCACGATGACATATTTTGTTTATTATGGGTTATTTTGCATTATTTATTATTTAAAAAAATAGTGCATTGAACTATTACTTATCTTGATTACTGGAGGGTTTTGAGTGCCTCTTAAAGTTCACACTTGAGGTGCTCAGTGCTTTACTTACCACACCCTAATCCTAGCACTGAAGACAATTACAGAAGGAGGTGCAGATACAGAAGTTGATATAAACAGATACATTTTTTTCTCAAAGAAATGGCATTATATGATATAGTCTGCATTCAAAATTAAAAGAAATTCTTAAACATTTTTCAAGAAATAATTTTTTTGTTGCAAAAAACTCCAATCTATTCAATTATTTGTTGTTTTCTCTGTTGTCTTCCAATCACTAAACACTCTTAAAGGCAACATTTAACGATCGCTAATGAGATCAAACTCAAGATTTGTTGAGTTGAAGCAACCCAAAGTGAAATACTTGCCTGAGAGTTCAACAGACTCTCAGATCCCTCTATGGGGATCTTGAAACAAGCAAGCTTGAAACAGCCTAGCTATAGATTTTCAAAAATCAATCTCCATAGAATGTTTCGACATTCCTTGATTTTTAAGGATAGATATGAATAGTAACCTTAATTCTATTTTATGAACCCACTTGGAAGCCACTTAATTTTAACATGTAGGTGAATTTGATCAAAATATGTCAACTATAATTAGTTTGAACAGAAAATATTGTTTAAATACATATTTTATAAGCACTATGGAGTTAATCCTAAAATAAATCTATGAGCATTTTATCTCCACTTTAACAAGGAGGCACCAACAGTTAAATAAATCCTACAATTAAATTTATTCAGCTGACTAGAATCAGAGATGAGCCATAGCATTCACACCCTTCTTACTCAATTCGGCCTTATGCTCCATAGCGTTATTCTGGGCCAGTGGTAAGCAAACTTTTTCTGTAAAGGGCCAGCTAGTAAATATTTTAGGTTTTGTGGGCCACACATGGTCTCTGTCTCAACCACTCAACTCTTCCAAAAACAGTCAGAGACAACCTGTAAGTAAATGAGCATGGCTGTGTGCTAATAAAGCATTACTTACGAATATAGAAATTTGAATTTTATAAAATTTTATAAACTATTCAGTGTCACAATATTACTATTTCTTAAATTTTTTTTTCAATACCATTTAAAAATGTGAAAACATTCTTAGCTTATGGACTTTCTATATGGTGAGCCACATTTGGCCTGGGGGCTGTAGTTTGCAGACCCCAGCTGCAGGATCATGGAAAATATAATGACCTTGATTTAAAATATCAGAAAGGCCCAGTTTTCAGAAAAAGGTTTTATTTTCTATAAGTCTTATAAGTCTGTAAGTCTTATAAGGATGTTCACCCATGCAGCATATATCTCTGTTCTGGGTAATTTTCTCGTGCAGACACTTTTCCATCAAAAACGCTCAATCCTCTATTGTTTTTCATGAACAAAAGAAGGGATCTGTTTGGGAGAACTCACTTCAGACTTGGCCACATCTGGTGCCAGGAAAGTTACTCCACATAAAGGACTGAGTTCTTTGAAGAATAGATTTCTAAAGAAAAATCTCCTAACCATGCTATCTCTAAATATCGTTTTTATGTTTTCCTGAGTTTCTACCTTTTCCATTTTAATTCCACTCTTCATCAGTACTTCTAATACGATCATTAGTATTCAAAAGTTCCCAAGACCAGCTCTTCTAGATGTCTGCTAATCTAGATATTTGAGCTCTGTTGCCAGGAAGCATCATAGAGATTCTCCTTGAGGAATTTGAGTGTAGATAGCAGGAAGAAGGAGGAGAAAGAAGGAAGAGAACAGAGCGACATTGGCAGGACATGGCCGGGCCAGCTGCTGCACGCCACTCTAGCATTAGTAGGCTTTGCAGGCAAATACACAGCCACCCAGATGCATCCGTGGCCAAGGGTGAAAGTACAATGTCCCCCATCAGTATGATAACTGATGTCCTTGCTCTCAACTGATGGAAAATTCCTCGAGGAGAAAGGGAAAAGAGGACTATTGGGCTGTTAAGGAATCTGAGTTGGAGAAAGGGTCTCCTACCTCTCAGTGGCTGCAGCCCAGCTCTGTCTGCTTTCTACTGGGCCATGTGATTCCCCTCCTGAGAGCTCAGTTTGCAATGAGCTACCTTGCTCATCTAGGGAAGCCTCCACTGCAGGGTTAGGACAGAGGACTGAGGCATCTGTCTCATTCACTCTTTGGAGCATTTGATCCCATCTATAAAGGAAAAGAAAAGCATGTTCTCTATTTCTCCTCAGGGCCAGTTCTTTTTTTTGCTTAAACCACTGCAGTGGCTTTTATCTGCTCATAATTCTTTTTGAAGCCAAGTCCTCTGGCTATTCAAGCCATCTCCCTTCCTAGCAAGTTAGGATTGGGACAAAGCAGTTATAATTCTAGAACTTGTCAGCCAGAATCAAGCCATCACAAACCATTCACACAAGCTGCTCCCTTCAGCCCAATAGTTGAGATGATTTTTCCATGATGTAATGAACCTTTTAGGTTCTTTTGAAAGAAAACTCGCCAGCAAGTTCATGTCTCTGTCTAGAGATCCTTTCTAACCAGAAAGTTGTTGAGATCATCTTTAGTGGGTGAAAATATCTCCTTTCGGGAGAAGGCTTTTGAGACCAGAAGTGTAAGTTTTGGAGGTTGCCATTGTTGTTGTTCCTTGCAAGGAAGAGAATAAAAGTACAATCATACTAGGTCATGTGTAAATTTATGCTGTTTTTACTGGCTCTTAACCCTTTTCCTTCCAGGAATTGTTAAGTTCCTTTGCAGTCATATATCAGTCCTCGGGTATGTTCTCACCAAGGGTAACTGTTTGACGGTAAGGTCCCTCAGTAGACCAACAGAATAGAAGTGGGGTCATGGAACGGACTCCCTGGAAATTACGTAAGAGAAATAAATACCCTGGGATTGGCACAGAGAGGAAATTATGAAATTCACTTCGAGCATGAATTCATAGACTCTCTCAAACTCTCTCGTGAGAAAAATTTTTCTTGGTCTGAGGGGGTCTTCAGTGGAGTTAGGGGTGAAACCGTTTGTAAGAGAGATCTCCAGGTCCCATGTTGCTTGCAATGGGCTGCAGATCAGGCTGCCTTCCGATGGAGACTCCGAAGAGGTTTCAGGAGACAAGAGAAAGAACAGAACATCTGTGGGTGCCTAGAGTTCTTTCTTTTTTTCTATTCTTTCCTCCTTTTCTTTGGTTTTATGTCATGGCCTGTAAGTCAATTCACAGAGAATGCTTTCACTTATGGAGAAATAATTTCAATTTTTTTTTTTTTTTTTTTTTTTGTGCTGACTGGATTGTCTCACCTGCAGGGTATGGGTTAGTTTTTTATTATTAAGTGTGCTTGGTGCTTTTCCCACATGTGGCTTTGAGAGGTTATGCTTTTCAATGGAGCCTGTGGAGCTGGAATCAAGCAGATCCTGAGCTACATTTCTAGAGATGAACCAAATGCTTATGGTAGTCATATAGTTCTGAGCACTCTGCCTGGATCACTGGCTATGTTTGGGTTCCAATCCCCTTTTTGTAGGATTTGAAACAATATGTGGACCATGGAGAAGAAAAATGAACCAAGGCAAGCAGTGCATGAGGAAAGAAGACAGAACGTAGAGAGGAGGGAACTGATTTCTGTGCTTAATTCACTTAGGGAAGGGCACTGATTCATTTTGAGCCCTGGATTAAGGAGACGCATAAAGTTCCATTATTCTGTCTGGATTTTGAAACTATGGATATGGCATTGGTGACTAAGTCTTTTGTGCTAAATGATGCTTTGGTCAGGTAGATGTTCAGAGAAACTCTACAAGGAAATAAAAATAACATTTTAATTGTCTGCTACTCTAAGAGAACTGCTTATGTGATGTGTACTTAGCTAGTGTTCTCTGGAACTATTGAAGCTATTTAGCCTTGGATCTTGATAGATTACTCTATTTTTGGAAAATACTGAGAGAGTTGCCACTACCTACTTTGAATTTTTCATATTTAAATGCATAAGAAATATGTGTGAAATGGGTGAGTAGATGATTTTTTTAAATTGCAAGTTGTAAAATATAACTGAACTCTGAACACCATAAAATCAGAATCATGAATGCCAGTTACTGAGAAATGGAGTCTCAAAGCTGGCTATAGCTCTTCTGTAGAACTAAGTAACTACAAATCAAAATTTAGCCATCTTCAACCTCTTATGAGGTTTTCAGATGTGTCATCATTATTAGGTCAACAGATATAACTCTGTGTGTGTGTATGTGTGTCTGCATATTTATACATACTTTGAATTTGCTTTCTGCCGACTAATTTATTAAGTACATTCCTTCCTTCATTTAATCGTGTACTGAGGCACAACATTTTTATATAAAAATAAGAGACATTAAGAGCAATGGCTTTAGGGTTTGACTTTGCCCAAGAGGGAAATATATCATTATTTTTCAAGGATTTGTTTTTGAAAGCACTATTGCATGTGCTAACACGCGTAAGAGGTTTAATCTCAGTAAACAGGAAAACTGGCTCTCCTAATTCATTTTTTCCCCCAAGTTGACTTAACAGGTACAGTATGAGTCTTCACGTACTCCAGTTTACCTGCAGGGAAATGACAGTCAGGTTACAAAAAAGCATTATTTATAATGTCAGTTCCTGCCCTGCCAAAACTTGGTGACTCAGTTATGCAAACCATATAAAAGAATAGATTTTGGTATAAATACAAGTTTTGAAATGAGACCCTCTTTGCTGATATGAAGATCAGAAGCTGAAACACTGGCAACAGAATTTAAGTCTGTGTTATAAGTTTAGAGTTTCTCTATTGCTAACCACAGAAGCAATTTTCTAAAACACTTGTTCACAGTGATAATTCATTTGAATTTCTTTAACATTTGAAACATACTGGATGTAGTTCAAATCCAAATGCAGGAGAAGAAATGTCTGAATTTCATCCTACTTAGTACATTAAACTATCTACATAAGCACCTATGAAATGAGTAATGACATAACTTGGGTTTTCTTTTAATAATCATTTAATGATATTAATGTTATTTGTTCTATCATTAGTCATTAATGTCATTGGTGGCAGTAGGGTGCAGCATTTTATTTTTGCATGGTTGTAATACAAGTTTTATTTGTAACTTATATACAAGGGCTTTGAATATTAAAACATAAATTTATCGAAAGCCTGGATAAATATCAATTGAGGATATATGCCTGCAGAATGCAAACTCGTCAATGAAGGAGGAAAAGATTCATTGAAATCCTCAGATACTGATTAAATTTATTTTTAAAAAGGAAGAAACTCTCCCACAGAGAAGCACAAAAATTGAGCCAAATATTTGGAATTAGCTCTTGCATAAGGAGTAAAAAGCCACACTTTATATACTATAGTCAGGGTACAAATAATTTGGGAGGAATTAGTAAGTGTGAAAAATATAGGTCACATTCTATGATTTCTAGATTTGTCTGCACAGAGATGCTATGAAAAGTTATATTCTGCAGAAAATGGAGGGAGAAACACTAGATTTGAAATCAGCAGGCTTAGAATCCATATGTACAGCTTCCACTCACATGAGGAGCTTTCTTGGAACATAATTTCTATATCTCTATTTTCTTACAAATTAAAATTGGGATTTTGGAAATCACAGGAAGAATAAAACAGAAGAAAAGATCACATGGTACAGCCACAGCCAGAGGCAATGGATAAAGAAATGACAGTTAGATTAACGTTCCAACAGACCTGCTTACATCTCTTATTCTTCTACTCACTCATCTGTAAATCCCTCCCTGTCTAAAGAATAAAGTGTCAACTCCTCATGCTTGTCTTAAGGGTCTAAAATCTGGCCCCAATTTAACGTTCAACCCTAATATCCCTTTATTCAGCAATTTATTCAAATGCTGACCATCAATTGGAAAATTTACTTTCCAACCTTTGTCTAAGGCCACCTATATTTCCAGATATAGCTACACTGTGTTCCCAAACTCCTTGGATATTTACCTCTTCATTTATGATTTTAGCACTTAGGCACCGCACTAGATTGCTATGTTATTTAAAGACATCACATAGAAATATCTCTTTAAAAATATCTTATTCCCTCAACTAAGTTACTTTATTTATTAATCGTATCATTTTACTCATTAGTAGTAGTAGCAGCAGTGGTAACGTAAATAACTCCCATTATCTAAGTGATCAGTGTGTCAGGCATTTTATATATATTATTTCTAATCCCTATAACACTCTTTCACTAGCTAGTTTGATCAATCTTGCAAACACGATCAGGCTGACCCAAAGCCCAGGCTCTCCCCACTGTGCCACGTGTAACCAGTGTAAAGGTCAAATAATTTAGAACATCCTTGGAATTCAATGCATTGGGATTTTACTTGAAAGAACTGCAATTAAAAAAAAAAGTTTCAAGAGATCATACCCTTTGACCTAGTAATTCCACATTTGGAAACCTATTCTAAGAAAATAGTAAGAGATGAAGATTAATGTAAACATTAATCTACAAGGACAGTTAATGCATCCTCCTATGAGTATAAAACAAAAATGAATATAAAGGAATAAGGATAGGTGATGATTAATTAAAGTATGGTTCATAAAATATATGCAAACAAAATATATGCTTTCAAATGATTTTTAATTGAATGACAAATGCTACATAATTCTAAAAGGTATGATACATATGTATCAAAAAAATCACAAAATTGGTCTCAAAATTATAAAAAATATATACATAAAGATATAAAAATAGAAACAAAAATATAGGAAAAAGGGAAAGAGATACACCAAAGTATTCATAATGGTGGGAATATGGATTTATTTTATTTTCTATGTTTTCCTACATTCTTCTCTATTTTTAATGTTTATCTTGTACATTTTCCACAATGGGCAAGTATTGTTTTGACCAAAAAAAAAAAGACTTAAATATACTCATACACTTTGAAAACCACATGCACAAACTGTTAAGGTCCATATCCCCACAGCTAGATATTCAGGTATATACCCTTTCTTTCAAAAGTATCATTACAATATTGTTGACATTACTCAAAATATGTTTTGCATTTTCTTTGTAGTTTGTGGCATATTCCCTAAATGTTGACAATAGCGAGTAACCTTGGCTGTCTGAAGTTATCTTTCTGTTGTTGTTAGTTCTGAACAAAGCCAAGTTGCATGCATCTTACAGCAGGCTACTTGGCCTAAGGAACTGCCATGCATGTCAACAGAGGATGAACTGAGGCTGTAGGCTCATTACCTTTAAGAGAGCTAATGTGCCATTGGGACATTAGGGACCATTGTCATCACTGTGTGAAGAACCATAGTAACGGAGGGTCTGGCCCTAAGATGAATATGAGATTTTCAGAGTGTAATTGTCTCACCCACATGAGATAAACGAAGTCTTCCCGAGCACGACAGAAGAGTAAGTGACTAAATAATAACTTGGCTGCTCTGGAAGTGTGAGCTTCCTAAAGAACAATCCCACTTACTGCTGTTCATCTTAACATATTTGATGGAAAAATAAAGATCATGTTAATAGACACAGTAAGCACTCAAATGATTTCTCAATAAATGAATATATAATTTTGTTGTCATAAATGTAGCGACATATGCATATTTGCAAACACACAGGTACCTCACTTACCTAGAGGTCTTCCTCAACTATTCATAACACAGCAAATACAAGGACTAAAGCGTTTAAGTGCTCTGAGAAGCTAAAATAAATGTCATAAGTCCATATTCTGAAACATTTTACTCAAAAAGGAAACTGACCGACACAAGGTAACTCCAAATTTAGCATCTGCTCAATCTATTTCAAAAATATACATTTGGGGGCCGGCCTCGTGGCCGAGTGGTTAAGTTCTCATGCTCCGCTGCAGGCGGCCCAGTGTTTCGTTAATTCAAATCCTGGGCGCGGACATGGCACCGCTCATTGAACCACGCTGAGGCGGTGTCCCACATGCCACAAGTAGAAGGACCCACAACTAAGAATATACAACTATGTACCGGGGGGCTTTGGGGAGAAAAAGGAAAAAAAATAAAATCTTTAAAAATATATATATATGTACCTTCACTTTAAGCCCTTTAGATCATATTTGCTTTTACTTTACATATATTTTTTAACAACCTTGGTTACATAATTTCTGAGCCCAGTGCAGATTAGAATCAACAAATTAGATAGAGCATGGTGACAGTCTAGATTCAAGGCACGTTAGCAGAAGCAAAAATGAGAAATGAAGCCTGTCATTGATGATAAAGGAGGAAAAACAATCAAGAGACTCAAATACACTTAGTCTAGGGTCATTTAATGTAGAGGACAGTGATCTTACTGGACCCTAGTAGGCCAATTCCATCTCAGGTAAAAATGACATAGCTTATGATTATTACAATGATACTGAGTCATTATTCAGAAGTCATGTTATACTCAAAAATACTGTTACTTTCACTCATTTCATCGTTCAACTGACATTTATTGAGACCAACTTATTTACTAGACCACGTGCGAGGCAATGAAGATATAAAGATAAAAAAGACATGGTAATGAATTTCAAAAAGCTCACTATTGGTCAGTGGAAACAAACATAGGGAAAAAAATCGTAATTGCATGAGAGGAATCAAATATGCTATACTAGAAATATGTAGAGTGCCATAGGGACAATCAGAGAGTTTGAGGATGCATACAATATATCAGAGAAAATAATTTTCACCCAAACAAATCTGTTATTTAGAAAAGCCATTATGTGATATGCTGCATTCCCGGTATGACAGACAATTAAAACATCATTGCTGTGTTATTAGTGTTAACAAATGGCAAATAAAGCCTTGTGGAATAAATTCCGTTGCTTTAGAGGAAATAACGTCTGTGTAGGCAGCAGCATGCAGCAAGAACATGCCATTCTTAGAAGCAACATGTCATTTATACACAAAGTTACATGTATATAGAAAGATCTGAGGGCATAATAGGCATTTCAGGACATAAACTGAATGAGGAGGCAATCCCGTTTGCTCATAGGCTCTCAGCTTCCTCAACACAACTACATATAGTAGCCATCCTAAAGACTTCCTCATAAATCCTACTCCATTTCATTCCACTTCTCAGAAACTCTCCAGAATTTTTAAAAAAATTTTTGCTGAATCCATTTTAGCCCTTAATCCTAGGCTGCTTCATACTGTATTTTGTCATCAGATTTAACTGGTGCATAGTTGTCTTCTCAATTAGATTGTGAGTTCTTAGAGGGAAGGAACTGTTTCTCCCAGGGCTCTTACGTCTCCTATATCACCTAGCACATAGCTAAAGTACAAAGTAGCTGCTCAACAAACACATTTATTGAATTTAATATGAAGATTACATCTTATCAATGCTGTAAGTGAAATTGCCAAAGCTGTTTTCCAATAGGTAAGATTACATTCAGTGCCTTAAAATACCCTAGTAGATGACTTGTCCTCATAGCAGCAGATTGCAAAACCACCCTGTCTTCATTTCAAGTTAATCTGACATTTATTTATTACTTATTACTATTAATTATTACTGTGAAGATTAGTAAGTGGTTCTTAATACCTAGTAGATGCAAATGACAGGAGTTCTCTCTTATCATTGTGAAATTGGACTGCATGCATGGTTAATGGAAGTCTGAAAAGATATCTAATTGCTGGACATCTTCATATAAGCGCAAGGGAAAGATTTGTGCTCCTAGTGGAACAATCACCTTCTGCGTCATAAGAGCATTCATAATCTGACTGCAGATCTGGAATATGACTAATATTTGGCTCTAATACTATAGGTGGTTGCTGTGGAGGGAATCAGTAAGACCATAATTGTCATTTCCTTGGAAAAATTTAATCCACAGATGGATCCCAACACCCAACTGCATTTGTGTCCAAAATTCATGGGGATTTTTGCTAAATAAGGACTGATTCAGCCAAAAAAGACAGACTCTGACTAGAGAACTCTGTATCACTCAGGGCTCCAAAAAGCGTATTTACCCAAGCACTGAATGCTTCGGAACACTAGAATTTTCCTAAGGGGCAACACAGTGAAAAGTCACTTACTGGTTAAAATGCACATTTATATTTACTCTTTATAAGATGAAGCAGTGGAGTTAATCAATGCTATCATGCATTTACAAAGTTTCAGTTACCTACAAAATATAACCATTCATGTTTCCTTATTAGCTAAATAATTAACATAAAAATTCTATTCAGATTGGGAAGCTGCTTATTAAAATAATCAGCTTTTCTCTAACTTTCTACTTGAAGAAATAAGCCTTGCTGCATATGGGAGGTGAGAGTGATATTGATGGTAAAGATTAGCAAACATATATTTATTTGCCCCCTCCCAGAACTAAATTTATACAACCAATCATAATCTTGTAACTTTGTATTCTTTTCTTTAAAGATTTTCCTATCATATGAAACTTTCTGTATTCAGTTTATTTGGAGTCGAATAGTAAAGTAAAACAATTCCAATCCAAATTTCAGAAAAATGGCATCTCTTTCTGAGTGACAGATCTCCAAAAGACTCGTTACCTGGAAATAAAAGTGTTGCCTCTCTGAGTTTACAAGGTTTGGAAAATTCTTAGCCATCTACTAGTGCACAGACTGAATCATAATAAAGAAAAGAACATATATAAATGATTAATAGCCCCCTTCCAATTAGGCTTAATATGTTGTAAGGGATTATTTAGACCTCTCCTGCCTGTTTCTTAGCAGAAATCCATGAGGAAACACATTTCAGAAGCAGTGGAGCGAGCTGTTACTCATCGTCTGTCCTTTGGCTGTATAGCGTTAGTCTGTCTATCTCCAGGTTCTTTGAGCTTTGGGTTACAGCCTGGGTTCCTATACATCCCCCTATGTTGCTGAGTTAATTCAAGCTGTTTATAAACAATACATGACTTAACAAATGTTAACGTAGACCTCCCTTGTGTGAGGCATTGTTCCCACGCACGGGCCTTTAAAAGGCAAGACAACCGGTTACAGGGCTTGAAGTACTGTGTAATTTCAACAAACGGAATGAAACAGCAATGCGTTTGGCTATCAGAGCAGTCACACGTCGTCCACAACCTATTCCACACGCTTGTAATTTCAGTATCTTGCTCAGTGCTAGGGAAAGAGGCACACTTGCTAACGGAGGACGAAGTACGTATCTGCAAAACCTCAGCATATTTCACCAGCACCTCCTAGGGGCCATGTGTGGGTATGAGGCTAGGAGGTGGGCACCAGGGTGCACCGGCGCAGACCCTTCCTTGAATTGTCGGTTTCACCTCTCCTACGCACAAAAACACACTCAGGCTGTGCCGCTCAGAGTACAAGCTAGTTTGTTGAAGTAGTTTGGCAACTCTAGGAGGTCTTTTAGAGGTTTAAATAAACTGCACGAAAGGCGCATTTGGTCGCTTGAGAAAATAAACATTCAACACACACTCAGGGATTTCGAATTCGGTGTAAGGAAAAGACTCCTAAAGATATTATGTCCTCTAACAGCAAAGCTTCATTATGACACCAAAGTTCTCAGAGACCTGTGCACTTACTCTTCAATTTACACACACTCACACACAAACAA